GTAGGCCGAGGACTATATCTGCATAACCCATAAGTTTCTTATTATCTCTGGTGAGAAATGGCATAGCCTGTTCTGTCATTAACAGTTCATTTTGCTAAAATGAGAACTCCAACTTCTGTTTTATTGAACTCACCAGGGCTTAACTTTGTAGTGAATATTTACATGAAATTCCTTTTACTTTATCTTTCATCTTCATCAGTTCTGTTTATACATCTCCATAAAGGAGGAAATCCATCATTAAAGAAGGACAAGAGAAGGCAGTGATTTGCATTAACTTTGCATATATTCATCTATATGCGTCATTGCAAATGTAGAAGTATAAATCATACTGAAATGTGGTACAGGCTCACTCTAGTTTATATTAAAAGCAGCATTTTGATGTGATACATATGGAAGGCTCCAGTGTGCCATTTAATCTAATTTTGGGGGGTAGTTTTCAAATCTTTGAATCTGAAGACATAAACAAGATGCATAATAGCTGTAAAGTCTATCACATGTTTTCTTAACATCTGCAAATCCCCTTTACTTGAGCTAAGCAGAAGAAATTGACTTAGTCACTTGGGAGAGAAACCAAACAGTCTGTTGCACTGTAGAAAGATGCTGCTGGCTTTAAAGAAAACAATACAGCTAGTCCTTGGCTTATAACCATTTGTTTAATGACCAAAGCGCTGAAAAAGTGATTTAGAATCAATCCTCACCTGACCATTTGCAGTATCCCCATGGTTACTTGATCAAAATTAGGGCCCTTGACCACTGACATGCATATTTATGGCCATTATGCGTTCCAGATTGTGTGATCAACATTTGCAACCTTCCAAGCCGAGTTCTTACAAGCAAACAATCATCACTTAACAACCATGTGACTCACATAACAATTGCTGTGATTTGTTTTACCAACCGTGAACAGTAAAATCAGGTTTGAGTCATACAACAATCTCCTTCCTTATTAGCAGTGGAAATTCTGGTCCCAATGGTCATAAATCATGGGCTACTAAATGTACCCATTTCTAAAGACCTTTTCTGGCTCAGGGTCTATCCCACATCCTTTGAGCAAAGCGCTTGAATGTGCAGGTGTTTTTTGTGCAGCCCCAGATGTTCTTCGAGGCCATTTAAAAGCCAACTAGAATTGAGTTTGGGACTGAATTAACCAAGGTGGCCTTGCTTGGTAATCTTCTGTAGGACCAAAAGAGAGTATTGACTCCACTGATCCTGTTTGATCCCTCAGCCTCCTTTGATGAGATCAGTAACCCTATTCTCTTGAATGAACTCCATGATTTAGAGGCTGAGCACTTCAAGGAGTAGCACTGAGTAATCATTCCTCTTCACTGTGAATGACAGCTATGCTGCTTGGAGCCACAAGTTATTAGTTTTGATCCAAAAGCTATTCAGCATCTTTATGAAGTTACTGAGGCAGTCATCAGATGTTTTGAATTCATTTGGTATCAATGCACTGATGACATTCGGTTTTACTTTTCAATAACATCTAATTTTGGAAAAGTTCTACAGGTAGTTTTCATCTTGCAGCCATTTGTTTAGTGGCATACAAGCAGTCCTTACACTTATGATGACCCTCACAGCATCTCTGTAGTCATGTGATCAAAATTGGGGGCCTGGGCAATTGGCATGTACTCACAACAGTTTCAGCATCCCCAGGTTGTGTGATTGTCATTTGCAACCTTCCCAGAGCTCTTCTGACAAGCAAAGGAATGGGGGAAGCCAGACTCTGGCTTAATGACCACATGGTTAACTTAACAATTGCAGTGATTCGCTTAACAACCGTGGCAAAAAAAATGTTCATAAAATCAGGGGCAATTCACTTAAAAACTGCCTTGCTTAGCATTTTATGTTAAATGAGAAAATTGTTAAGTGAGTTTTGCCCCATTTTACAACTTCTTTTGTCGTAAAATGGGGCAAACTTTTGGAGCAACATTTGCTAAGTGAATCAGGGGAGTTCTTAAATTAGTACCATGGTGGTTAAGTGAATCTGGCTTCCAAATTGATTTTGCTTGTCAGTAGGTCGCCAAAGGGGATCACATGAGCCCCCCCAGGACACTGCAACCGTCATAAATATGAGTCAATGGTCAAGCATCCAAATGTAAATCATGTTACCATGGGGATGCTGCAATGGTCATATGTGTGAAAAACAGTCATGAGTCACTTTTTTCAGTGTCATTGTAACTTTGAACAGTCACTAAATGAAGTGTTGTAAGTCAAGGACTATCTGTAACTACCAACACTGATGGTATTGTTGAGGGGCAATTAACAGGGCAAAAGAAGCACTAGTGCGGCCATTTTGTAGGCGATCTATCCTATCTTTTTTGGATATCTCACTAATACTACTACGAATAAAAAAAGGACTATGTGGATGGATAGTACCAGTGGACGGTTGCAAAGTAAGTTGCCACCGACTCGATGGGTGTGGCTTGGTGGGGACGCTTTGCACACACACACTAAATGCACACTTTGTGCACACACACAAGCATTCCAACTCACCTGCTGTAATCCTGCACTCTCCCTATAGCTTCAGCAGCTGACACGTGTCAATCTCCTGTGCTGCGCAAAGCAGCTGCGCTTCAAAAGCAAGGAATAAAGGTCTGCACAAGAGCCTGGGTGGGAGGGTGAGCCCAACAGCAACTCCTCAAAGAGAACCAGTTCGGTCTCCACCAATCTTTGGTGCTACCAGTACGCCAGAACCAGGCTGAACTGGTAGAATACCACCACTGGATAGTTCCCAGGTATGAAAATTGGGAGCAGGAGTCCTAACTGTTCAAATGGGGTTGTCTTCTTTCAGAAACCACAAACACTTGAACTGGAGAAGGTCACAATGTCATTGGAGGCCAGGAGCACCTATTATCTTCAGCTGGCATGTCAGCTGTGACTTTTCCCGGACATAATCTGTTCATGCGTTGGTAGTTCAGTGTACTGTAATGTATTTATTCGGCAGTTGCAAAATGCTGTGCCAACGTCTTTCGATGTGTGTATATGCACAGGCTGCCCCTTAGATTCCAAACTAGGGTCAAAAGTTTGCAGATTTGAGAAGCAGGTTGCCTACAAAGTGGCCAACACCTATCCTTACCTGGCCAATATCCTAGCCAGCATAACTACTGTTGGCTATAAAAACTGAGCAGAGAGGCAGCTGGGGGTGGGGGGGGCATTGATCTGTGGAAGTAAAAGATACTCTTCTCGAGCAGTAGGACTTATAAGGAATACTACTGGAGGAATAAAGGTATAGTAGAGGTAGGAAAGAGTAGAAAAGACCAGTGAGTACTAGTCTTTGAGTATGTATTGGCTAGGAACCTGCTGTTTTGGAGCCCGCTGACTTGGGAATTCTTAAAAGAATCCATGAGGAGATAGTGCTATTACTGGGATATCCAAAAAAGATATGACAGACTAGACTGTCTTCAAAATGAGCTGCTGTTGCACTGCTCCTTGACAGTATTTGACATACAAAAGGATCAAGAGCCAGTCAAATATTGCCGTCACCACTAAAGATTAGAGAATTGCTACATTCAGGGGAATTTGGCTTCATGTGTTTAGATTAGTAGTGCAATCTTTGTATGGAGACTTTCTGTGGAGTGGTGCTTGTGCTCTAGAGCAGTGTTTCTCACCCTTAACAACTTTATGATAGGTGGACTTCAAGTTTCAAATCTGGCTGGGGAATTCTGGGAGTTGAAATCCACCTATCTTAAAGTTGCTAAGGGTGAGAAACACTGCTCTGGAATATTCTCTTACCTCTAATTTGTAAGGTACTTATCATTTTACCTTTCTTCCAGGCCTTCCCTTTATAAATCCTGAATTAAATTGTTTAGTTTTGTTTTTCTCATTTTAGAAAAATGCATGCGAGTTTTCAAAATATAGATATATAAATATACATTTAGGCAGGGGTGGGATTCTGCCAGTTTGGACTAGTTTGGGTGAACCCCTAGCTCCGAAGATCAGCTGGGAGGGAACCGCTTCGCTCCAATGATCATGTGGGCCTACATGCCCACTCCTACGCTGTACTGGCCTTTATCGTCTCAGCTGATCAGCACGGAAGAACGGATTGCCCTTCCTCAACTGTGTTAAAGCGTGCAATCACTGAACCGGTTGTTATACCGACAGCATTCCAGCCCTGCATTTAGACAATGTTCGATCAAAGAAACCAGCTAAGTCAGCCATTCAGGTCAACTATGGGCCTTCTCAGTTTGTTAATAATGGGTAATTACAAAGCATTTTGCCCTTCAAAGCAGTTTATAAGCCCTTCAGCTAGAAAATGGTTTTGAAGAAATACAATTTTTAACAAAGTTGGTCACAAGCAGGGGTGGCATTCTACCAGTTCGCACCTATTTGCTAGAACCGGTTGTTAACATTCTAAGCAGTTCAGAGAATTGGTTGTTACAAGAAATTATTGGCCTAATCCTGTAAGGAAGGCAGAAAGGAAACATTCTGGTGTTGCTTACAGAAACCGCCTCTCTGTTAACCCTTATCACATTCTTGGCAGGACTAGACTTCCTGTCTCAGGAACTTTTCTGGTGTTTTCTTTCCCTCTTTTGCTGGTACTTTGCTTGTGTGGAGTGACCATTCAAAGTTACAATGGCACTGGAAAAAGTGACTTATGACCATTTTTCACACTTACGACTGTTGCAGCATCCCCACAGTCATGAGTGGCCAGGTGAGGAGATGCGTGCCTCGATGTGAGGGATATTGAGTTGGTCACGCCCAGCCAATAACCTGACCACCAAGCCATGCCCACCAACCAAGCCACGCCTACAGAACCGGTTGTTAAAAATTTTGAATCCCACTCCTGGTCACAAGGACATCCTTATCCTAGAAGTCATTCAAAACCCAGCTGGGGCCACCAGAGCAGGCAGTCAGGAAAGAGAGAGAGGGTTCATTGGGTGACTTCCAGGAAAATGGCAACCCAAGAAATCTATAACAAATTATGATATTGACACAGCAGGCCTGTTCTCAAGATAAGGTGATTCATATGGTGCCTCGGAAACAGTATAAAACAGTTTGAAAGTCCCCTTAGGAGGCTCTGCAAGAGATAGTCACAGATCTCCAAGCCTGGGACTGTGTTGGCCGCAATGTAAGTAAGAAATGGAGCAAGGATTTTTTTTTTTCCTATTTAATACAGGGGTCCTCAAACTTGGCAATTTTAAGACTTGTGGACTTCAACTTCCAGCTGGCTGGAGAATTCTGTTGAAGTCCACAAGTCTTAAAGATGCCAAGTTTGGAGACCTCTGATTTAATATAACAAAAGATCTATTCTCACCAATCTAGGTGACAAGTTTATACGCTGTCCCTACTCTGAGTTTCTAAGAGTTGCTTCAATGGTAGAGGGAGCTGGATGGTTTCTAAATGTAATAAAATATTTAATAGGGGAGAAGCTTCTTAAATCTTGAATGTTGTGCTGATGCAGGTGATCCATAAGCGGTCTTTATATCCCAGTAGCTTTAGAGTTCTTTTTAGCAGCCGTCTTCTGGAAAGAGAAGGTCAATCTGGGATTTGTAGAAAGAATGTTAGAAGTGGATTTCAAGGCCCTGCCATTAAGCCCCATTCCTCTGCAAAAATTGGGGCATGAGGAATATTGAGGCTTCCGTGTCCAATGTTTAACCTTGGGTCACCCCATGGAGGCAGAGGTGGGATGCTACCAGTTTGCCCCAGTTCTATAGAACCGGTAGCTCTGAAGAGCAGCAGACATCGAACCGGTTTGGTGTCTGCTGCTCTGTTTGGCCCAGCCGCCTGCCGGGCTCTTGGCTGTCTTTTATTTCCTGCTTTTTCAACCTCAGCTGCTTTGCGCGGCACAGTTGAGGTTGAAAAGGCAGGAAAGAAGAGGAGTTTGAAACGCTGCTTGTCAGCTGTCCAGACGGCACAGCTGAGGTTTTTGGGAAATGGTCTACACACACGCGCAAAATACACTCTCACCAGGGATGGGATTCTATCTGCTGGAAAAACGGCAAATCGTGCCACTGGCTGGCTCCACCTCACCCCACCCATTCACTTCTTAGCTGGCATGCGCACCATGAAACTTTCCTGCTAAGTTGCTATTTTTCCTTTTTTTCCCCCGACCATCAGCTCTTTCTACTGTGCCGGGAGATTTAGATTAGCTAGAAAGCAGGAAATCGTTGGATTTCTTGCTTTCTAGTTAATCTGAAAGCAGAGCTGAACCTTCCTTAGGACTGAAGCTTCTATTTTACAGTGCAGACTCAGGTAACCGATTGCAAAAAGATAGATCTCTGAATTAATCTGTGATTCTGTGAGCAACTCAATCTGCCTGCCTGCTTTGCCTGATTTTGGGTAAAAGTTGCTCGTTTTTTTATAAAAAAATCAATATTTACATAAATATTTATTATATTTACATATTAGCCATGCCCAGCCAGTCACATGACCACCAAGCCATGCCCAGTCAGCAAGACACGCCCAACCAGTCACATGACCACCAAGCCACACCCACAAATTAGGTCACATCCACAGAACTGGTTGTTAAGATATTTGAATCCCATCCCTGCATGGAGGTATTGCAAAAAATACAATGAGCAGATCAGAAGTATGGCTGCTACTATGGGAAGAAGAGCAATGTCGCAATATACAGGCCATCCTTGACTTACAACCACAACTGGGAGCAGAATTTCCATTGCTAAGTAAGTGAGTCACATCCAATTTTATGATTATTATTTTTTTGGCCATAGTTAAATGAACCAATGAAGTTGTAAAGTGAATCACATGATCACTAAGCAAATCTGGCTTCCCCCACTGACTTGTGACCCCCTTGTCACAAGCCAGCTGGGAAGGTCGTAAATGGCGATCATGTGACCCCACGATGCTGCATCTGGGATAAATACATGTTTGTTGCCAAGTGCCCGGATTTTGATTACATGACCAGAGGGTGCTGTGAGGGTTGTAAGTGTGAGGAATGGCTGTAAGTCACTTTTTCCAGGATTGCTGTAACTTTGACCTGTGGGGCTCAAAGTGGTTAGAATGCAGCATTGCAGGCTAATTCTGCCCACTACCAGGAGTTCGATCCTGACTGGCTCAAGGTTAACTCAGCCTTCCATCCTTCCCATGCCAGTAAAATGAGGAGCCAGTTTGTTCAGGGCAATGTGCTGACTCTGTAAACCGGTTAGCAAGTACAGTAAAGCACTATGAAGCTGTGTATAAGTCTAAGCGCTATTGCTATTTGTTGAATGAATGGTTGTAGATTTAGGACTACCTGTAATAACAAAAATAATGTAATTTATTGATTTTATACACAATTGTCTTTCTAGGAAGCATTGTTTCATCATCATCTTCCTCCTGTCGTGTGGCATCACTCTCCATGCAGGTAAATTCAAGGAAAGGCTGTTCCACAGTGAGTGGAGCTATTTCCACTACTTTACCACAGCTCAACCCCTTCTTCCTCCCCTCCATTATTTCAGAGAATGCTCGGACTTCCTCCTATTCTGGCCCGTATGGGGAGTCATATGGAAATCGCTTTTCTCATTCTGGGTACCAACTCGAGGGGCCCATAACGGCCTTAAGGGTCCGGATTAACCGTAATTTCATTGTGGGGTAAGTACATAAATGGCTGAGTGGACTGTGGTTCAGGATTATGCATGTCAAGGAAGGAAAACATGCTCAGGTTGATGGAACCGAAAAGATCCTGTGTCAGCACAACTTTGTGGGGAAGCAGATCAGATCTGTTTGTTTGTTTGTTTGTTTAATTTCTAGAGCTCTCCATTTCAATGATTCTGGGTGACTTACAATTCCAGAATTAATAAAACAATTAAAACGAAGGCATTTTGTAATCCAAACATCCAACATAAATATAAACAGAAGCCTATTTTTTTACTTATTCCATTTCTATAGCACCCATCTCAGTCAAAGACTGGGCAGCCTATATTTTCAAAACAATAAAAATAATTAAAACAACCAGTCCCATTTTAGGTTGCAGCTATCTATTTTTACTATAAAACATAGAATTGTGGTATGAATGGTTAAAGAAAAGGTAATATTTGACAACTGGATAAGTTATGAAATTATGGAAGACCTGTGTTTAATTATAAAATATTCTGTTAAATTAAAACATTAAAAGAACGAGGAAGGTACTGTAACAAAACTATAAGTTCCATAAAATCTAAAATGTACCATATTTTTCAGACTATATGTCCAGAAGCACTCTGCAGGCTAAAAACGAAGGCCAAAAACGGGCCCATTTTTGGCCTGCAGCGTGCTTCTCGACGCTGGGGAGGGCAAAAACGGGATGCATGGAGGCTTTGGGAGGCCAAAAGTGGGCCTGTATTTGCTCTATAAGACGCACAGACATTTTTATCCACTTTGGGGGTGTGGTTATAGTCCAAAAGATATGGTACTGTGTATATATAGGGATAGCTCAAGGAAGGGGTCAAAGAGGTTAAAATGGCAGTAATGACTGTGTGACCAGAGTCCCCCCCCCCCCCCCCGATTTTTAACGTGTTGCCTACACAACACATATAAAAAGAGGAAGGATTTCAATTACACCATTGTGTACAGGATGTGTGCACAAACAAATGTCAACATAAGGATATTTGCTCATTACAGATCTTTTCTGTCCATATAGAAGAGAGAAGAGTTTTGGGGTAACTTTTGTTTTCCTTCAGTTTGATTGTGACTCCCTTTCAGATTTTAGAAATTTCCTGAATCGGTTGAATGGACAATTGTTAAAAATTGTGTTTGACAGAATTCCAATTTTTGGATGTTCATGTTAATAGCCCTGGAATCAGTCTTGCACACAGCAGAGTAATGATTAAACCTTGATTATGAAAATGTTGCTTATCAATTATTTGACTTATGTGCCATTATATTGATGTGATTCATGGTGACCCCATAAGACCCCATTTCTTCATGATGTTCTAACCCAACATTCAGATTCAGGACTTCCAACAGTGGATTCATTTCGGCTGTAATTAAGTGGTCTACCTTGCTACTGGTTATCCTTTTCTTCTCTTTCCTTCCAGAGTTATTGTACTTAAATCCCTTTTTTCTCTCACTGATCGTTGGTGAACCCAGAGAGATAACAGGCTATGGCATATTAAAAACCTTGGTGCTGGATCTGAAATTGAATTACTGCTTGTTATCAAATTCAACTTTGAAATGGGATACTCAGTCTTAGTATTTTAAGAAAATCTATATGGCCACCAAACTCAGTGATTCTGAGGAGCTTGCAAAGATGAAAGGCCAATATAAAAATAATAAAAAGCAATAATCTCCTACACTCCCCCCAAGTGACAACAATCAAATAAGACACTTGACGGGCTCCATCCCACTTTAGGGTCCCCAGGCCTATTGGCAAAACCTTGTCTTCAGGGCCTACTGAAAAAATGTTAAAGTGTGGGTCAATCTTATCCCCACAGCAGAGGTGGTATTCAGCAAGTTCTGACCAGTTCTGAAGAACTGTTAGCGGAAATTTTGAGGAGTTCGGAGAAGCGGCAAATGCCACCTCTGACTGGCCCTGCCCCCATCTATTCTCTGGGACTCCCGAGTCCCAGCCCGATCGGGTGGGTCTTCTTTGGTTGACCTGCCCAGGAGAACAGACCTGGAAAGCAGGTTAATGGGGTGGGGAGGGAATGGAGATTTTACAGTATCCTTCCCCTGCCATGCCCACCAAGCCATGCCCACAGAACCAGTCGTAAAAATTTTTGAATCCCACCACAGAGATGAGCCACCAGGAGAAGCCCCTTCTTCTCAGTCTTGCTAAAAGGATCTCCTTAGGAGAGGGGACCTGTAGCATTCCCTGTTTGCCTGCTGTGATGGGTTGGATAGATGTGACTGGGAAAAGACAGTCCTTCAAATAATGTGGTACAAAACCATTGTTATTATTCCTTTTGTTAGATTTGATCCAGTGTCTTATCCCAAAGATACTATAGTGTGTATAAGTGTTTCCCAAGCTTGACAACTTGAAGAATTCACTTATCTTCAACTTGCCAAGCTTGAGAAACACTCATCTAAATTCTTTTGTGGTTTCATTTTGAATTGTTAGTGGCTGTTCTTCCAATCCATGTTTTTTCACATGACAGGGTTACTATAGGATTACTTAACCAGAAATGAATAGCCTATGTGGTTTAGTATGCCAGCAAACACACTTTCAGAGAAAGGTTTCTAACAGTCCAGAGATAATTTCTACACTTGTTGGAAATAAACAGTGTTCCCAATGTAGGTTTAGTCATCATTAAGCCAGTTCACTCTTTAACAGTGTAGGTGTAATTAAGTCCAAACAAAAGCTTCATTGTGCAGTTGTCTTCATATTATTTGCAGAATTTTAAGAGGAGTTATTTCAAAGATATCCTCAATTTCTAACCTTCCTCATTGTTCATTTCCTCATTGTTCTTTTCTTTGAGAAACGAAGGGAATGAAGAAGCCTTTATATGATTCTAGTCTAATCTAAACTCATACTTCACAGATTGAAACTGGTCCAAGAGAACCAAGATCCTATTTATTTATTCTAGCCTTCAGGTCCGTTATGGAAAGCAGTGGAGCAACTATGTTGGTGGCACTTCAGGAGATCTGGAGGAAATCTTCCTGTTCCCAAGGGAGTCCATCATCCAAGTATCTGGGAAATATAGCAGCTATATCCGCAAATTAGTCTTCGTCACTGATGAGGGGCGCTACTTTTCTTTCGGCAAGGATTATGGCTCCAGTTTCAATGGGGCCCCGCTGTTCCCAAACACTGTCCTGCGATTCTTCAGTGGCCATTACAGTTCCGTCATTTCCTCCATTGGATTCCACTGGGATAAATATCCTGGCGGTTGTAGCACTTGTAAAGATGGAGTCCAGGAACAAGAGAACAAAGAAAGAGTAGAGTAGAAGGCAGCAGAAAGCCTTCCCTGCTATCAGTGAGGTCCGTGTAATAAGTTCCTTCAGCATCCAACTAGTCTCACATGCCCTGTTGCCAATTATCTGTCTCTCTACAGATGCCTACTAAAAGAGTAAACCAAACTAAACCTAAGCAACTTTTTCTTCCAACAAGTTTCCCACCCTTCCTTTATCATGAAAAGGAAGCGAAAGAAAAGCTACCACCACCTGATCTGGCCTGCACATTGCTTGGGAGCTGTTCTTCCCACAAAGGACCAACTGTCAACACTGTGGCTAATAAAAGGCAATCTGGAAACAAAGAGTCATTGTTTTTCTTTACCGGTTGTCTACCCTTGAAGCCAGTGCCACCACTCTGCTGAAATAATGTAGGAATTTCTTACAACCTAATTTTTCAACATTTAGGTATGCATTGCATACTGAATTCACATAACAGGAGAAATAGAGCAATGGTTAAATGCAACAGCTATGAACTTCTATTCTGGTCTCAGCCATAGCCTTCCTGTTTGATCCTAAGCAAACTGATATATGACCCTTTAGCCTTCCTGATATAAATGAAAGTACAAAAATGATGCTGGTTTTCTAAAACCATTGAGAAGATGAATAAGTTAATGCACAGAACCCAAGCCTTGGCTTATTTCAACCAAAATTTTTGGCTGAACAAAGGCTGTGTTGACATACAGGTAGTGCTTGACTTATGACCAGGCCAGAATTTGTATTGCTAAGCAAGGGGGTTGTTAAGTCATGCTCAATCTTATGACCTGTTTTGGCCATGGTTGTTAAGTGAATCACATAGTTGTTAAACAAATCACATGGTTGTTAAGCAAATCCAGATTTCCACATTGACATTGCTTATCAGTAGACAGTTGGGGAGGTCACAGATGGAAATCACATGGCCCTGGAAACATCGTAAGTACATGCCAGTTTCCAATTGCCAAATTTTGATCATGTGTCAGGATGCTATGACGGTCAAAAGTGCAAGGACCAGTTATAACTCACATTTTCAATGCCGCTGTAACTTCAAATGCTCACTAAATAAGCCGAGGGCTACCTGTATATGAGTCAAAATTCAAGACATCATGTTTTGTATTGGTGTTATGTACGAAACCCAGCCATACACTTTAAAAAAAATAAACGATGCTGGATGGGATGGAGGTTATTTTGTGTGGAGGGACCCTCAAAAAAGTCAAAACAGTATTCATGACTGTCTGGATTAACTTCCTGCCCCCCCCTTTTTTTTAAAGTGCATAAAATGCATGGCTCACATAAATAACAAATAGTCTCAGACATAAGATGTGAGACAAGTTAAGGACTGCAAGTAATGGACTCTCCAGGCTGTGATTCCCATTGCATAGCGACACCAGCAGCAGATCCACTCTCTAGAATAGAATAGAATAGAATAGAATAGAATAGAATAGAATAGAATAGAATAGAATAGAATAAACAGAGTTGGAAGGGACCTTGGAGGTTTTCTAGTCCACCCCCTACTCAAATAGGAAACCCTACCATATACCATTTCAGACAAATGGTTGTCCAATCTTTTCTTAAAAACCTCCAGTGATGGAGCGCCCACAGCTTCTGAAGGCAAGCCGTTCCACTGGTTAATTGTTCTTGTTAGGAAATTTCTTCTTGGTTCTAGGTTGCTTCTCTCCCTGATTTGTTTCCATCAATTGCTTCTTGACTTGCCTTCATGTGCTTTGGAGGATAGGTTGAAAGACCTCTTCTTTGTGACAGCCCCTGAGATATAGGAACAATGCTATCATGTCACCCCTAGACCTTCATTTCATTAAACTAGACATACCCAGTTCCTGCAACTGTTCCTCATATGTTTAAGAAGAAGCCTACATAAATGCCCAAGTAGCATTTTCCAAAGGACAGGAAAAGTATTATGAAGGAAGATTACCATAGAGAAGGCAAGTGTCTAGGCACTCCAGCAGCCCAGATCAAATGGCCAATTCAGGACAATGGCCAGCCAGTGGAGGGGAGAGGACACATCTGCAGCAATCTCAATAGAAACTTTTATCTGCAGCTGTGCATAGGCTTCAATGCATATTTATCCTGCCAAAGGATTGATGGGTAACTATAGGTTGCGAGTGGTTGGAAATGGGCTGATCCACACATCTGCCAAATCTCAACTATGCATTGTGTGAGGTGCGTGTCCTGCATGCTCATTGGTTGACATCTTCTACATTTTGTGTGCTTTGTTGTCTGAGCATCCTACTGCCAGAACGTTAACATTCGCAGAAGTATAATTGCAACAGCTATGCAACCACCCCCAAACAACTAACACATTTTCCCCGTCGTGCAGTGATGCAGAAGTCTAAATCAAGCCTAAGGCACCAGGCTAGGCTAGAGGCCAGGAGACAGTAAGTTCTAGACCCACCTCAGGCATAAAAGTTGGCTGGATAACTTTGGTCCAATCACCAGGAGACTGTGAGTTCTACTCCCACCTTAGGCAGATTGGAAAGTAGTCAGATATCTGTTTTCCATTTTTCAGGGTTTGGAAGTATAAATTTTATGGCCCTCAGAGTTCCTCTGGGAGGAGCCAAATTTGTTAGCTTTCCTTGGGTTTGTTTTTTTAGGATGGGGTGAATAGTTAAAATGGAACAGATACTGAATATTGGTACCAGAGTTTGCTTTTCATTAGACATTTGCAAGAAGACTATGAGTTCTAATCTAGGGCATGAAACACTGACTGGGTGACTTGGGGCCAGTGATTCTTCTGAGCCCTACCCACCTAACAGGGTTGTTGTTGTGAGGAAAATAGGAGGAGGAAGGTGTATTGGATATGTTCACTGCCTCGAGTTATTTATTAAAACAATGAATCCAGGATTTAAATAAATAAGTAAAAACTTTGCAAACCCACTCTCCTGAACTTGTCTTCACTTATATCCATGTTGGCGAACCTATGCCATGCGTGCTGGAAGTGGCATGCTGAGCCATTTCCCCCAGCACATGAGAGGTCGCCCAGAAGAGCCCCACTGCACATGCACATACTCGCCACCACCTGACAGCTGATTGTTGGGTATCTGGCGTGCATGCGCAGAGGGCGGAGGGGGGTGCGCGAGAGATGCACAAGCATGTGCAGGGATGCACTGCACATGAGGAGGGGGTCGTGCATGCAGGGGCATGGCCAACACGCATTGCCTTCTGGGTGGTGGCACGCAAGCGTGTGCACAATTATTGGCACGGGAGCCAAAAAAGGTTAGCCACCACTGACTTCTATCATCAGTGAAGAATTGCATATCGAGGTAGGATTCTACCGATTTGGACCAATTTGAGTGAACCAGATGTTAAAGTTACAGCTGGTTCACTGAACTGATATTTCAACTGGCCAGCTGGCTCCACTCCTCCCACCCCACCCCTCCCAGGACTCTCCCGGCAGCCCATTTTCAATGGAGGGTCTGCATGGAGACTCTGTGAGGGGGAAAAATGGGCCTTCTAGAAGTCCGGAAAAGGGCCTGTTTCTGGCTTCCAGAACCCAGGGGAGGCCATTTTCACCCTCCCAGAGGCCCGAGGGAGATCTCTGGACCCTTGGGAGGGCAAAAAACAGCCTTCCCGGAAAAACCGGAAGTGGAAAAACGGGCCTATTTCCGGCTTCTGGTGAGCCTCCAGAGGCCGGGGGAGGCTGTTGATTGCTCTCCCAGAGGCCTGTGGGAGGGTGAAAACATCCTCTCCTGGGCTCTGGAGGCCCACCAGAAGCCAGAAACAGGAATTCTGGGAGTTGAAGTCCACATGTCTTAAAGTTGCCAAGTTTGGAGACCTCTGAGCTAAGCTATATGAAAAGTCAGCAGCTAGCACAACCTCATCAGGTGACTTCCATGATCCAGGAGGACCTGATCCAAATTCTCTGCTTGAAACCACAGCCCTGGCAGTCTGCTATATGAGACATTTCAGAACAGCAGAAGAAGCAGAAAATCATTCTTCCCCTATGTATGTCTCAACTCAGCAAGTAGAGACAATGAAAGCTTTGATTTTATTAGAAACCATCCATTTAGTGTTGACTTTTAGTGTCCATAGAGATATTTTCCAGGATGTAGATCTCTAGATCTTCCAACAGGGTTCCAATCACCACAATAACAGAGTCCTTATAATTTATTGCTGGCCGCTGAAACCTTTTCTTTCCTCCATTCAATGTTCCCAGCATGATGGACTTCTCCAGAGAATTAGGTCTTTGCATAATCTGTTCAAAATACAGCATGGTAATTTGATCCTGGTCATTTGTGCTTTGAGGGAGAATTCTGGATTGATTTGTTCAATAATCTCTTTGTTTATTTTCTAAACTGAACTTGAGAGTGGCACTCTCAAGAATCTTCTCCAGCATCAAATTTCAAAAGCATCAATATTTTTACTATCTTACTCTTCCATACTGTTTCTATCTTGCTTCTCTAAAGTCTAACTTTCACTTCTGTAGAGAGTCACAGGGAAAAGTATTGCCTGAAGGATTCTGGTCTTCATGTATTTTTATTTATAATATTTTTATTTATTTCTTGTATCCCACCTTTATCATTTTTATAAACAACTCAAAACAGTGAACATCTCCTTCCCCCTCCTATTTCCCCCACAACAACAACCCTGTAACGACTGACCCAAAGTTACTCATCAGCTTTCATACCTAAAGCGAGACTAGAACTCACAGTCTGCTAGTGATTGACCCAAAGCCACCTAGCTGGCTATCATGCCTAAGGTGGGACTAGAATTCACAGTCTCCTAATGATTGACCCAAAGTTACCTAGTCGGCTTTCATGCTTAAGGCAGGACTAGAACTTATAGTCTCCTAGTGATTGGCCTGAAGTCACCCAGCCTGCTTTCATGACTAAGGCAGGACTTGAACTCACCATCTTCTGGTTTCTAGCCTGGTTCCTTAACCACTAACCAAACTGACTCTATAGCTATAGACCCATCACAGCATCTGAATGTCATTTCCAAGACTTTCATGACTGCCCTACTGAGTGCTAGTCTGTATCTGCTGGTTCTTTGGATAGTTGATTCCCAAAGTCAGAAACTATCCTGAATTTCTAATTTCTGGTACTGCTATTCATTATCCATTCCATTTTGGCTATTCACCCATGAAGGAGGAGGAGGAGGAGGAGGAGGAGGAGGAGGAGGAGGAGGAGGAG